CCCCCCACCTGTCGCAGAACACCATCCCCGCGTTGATCATGGGCGTCAGGTCAGCGCTGACTGTCGACCAGATGTAGCACTCCGCGTCAATGAAGCGCAGCAGCTCGGGGTCCTTGATGTAGCGCCGCGACACGTCACCTGGTGACGGAGCGGCCGGGAAGGGCGGGTGATGGTGAGTAATGGGCCCCGGCCAATCCAATGTCAATGCAGCGCGAGGACTTGAGGGAGGACGCATCGCGGCACCCTTGGTGTAGCTGGGGCGAGTTCGAGTTGTGCCGCTGGCGACGGCACTGGGGCCCGGTTGTGCCTGCCACGTCTGCTACGTCGCCGCACATCCGCCAATGCCAATGCCAATGTGCCCGCGAGGCGCGTGCTATTCCCCCTCCCCCCGCCCCCCCTGGTGCCCACCCGTGTTTGTGATGAGGAATGATGCGAGGGTGAGGCATGATACCGGGTCCTTGAAAAACTCCCCCATCAGGTAGCGCGGCTCCTCCAGGCTCTTCAGCTCTGGTGGGCGCATGAGTGGCGGGAGAGAGTGTGTGCGTGTGTGTGTGTGTGTGTGTGTGTGTGTGTGTGTGCGTGCGTGCGTGAGTTGGGGGGAGGTGGGAGATGATTGACTGGGGTGAGAGGACCGCGGCGATGGCGTCATTGGCCAGGACTGCATGCACCAGATGTGCCGCAAGGTGTGAGAGGGGCCACGGGACAACGGAGAGGCATCGCTGCCGGGAGCACTTGCAGCCCTGCTTGGCCCAGCAACCTTCACACCAGGCCCAGCAGCCGCAGCCTCAGCCAGGCCCGCTGTCACGCCCTCCGCCCCTTGCGGCGGCCCGTGTCCCAGCCGGCGCCTACCCAGGGAGTTGAGTGCGTTAAACACGCGCCAGCACTCGTCGTAGAACTTGCGTATGCCCTCCTTCTCGTGGGGGAACCTGGCTGACAGCTCGTTGACAAAGTCTTCGTAGCCTCGCCACACGCGCACGTTCAGGCCCTGCACGGTTGGTGTGCCGATTCCCGTGTGCAGCGATGTAGGTGTGTACGTATGTGTGTGTGCGTGCGTGTGTGTGTGTGTGTGTGTGCAAGTGTGAACGCGCGTGTTGAGACACCCGTGTCCGTGCGCGAGCGAGCTCGCTTGCGCACGGACCATTGTGTGTCAGGAGCCACCAGCCGAGTGATGGGTGGGTATGTTGCGCCGTCAATGAGGTTCTCTTCACTCACGCCACTGCCCAGGAATGCTGCTGACAGGGCCGCCTGGCGGCCCGCTCAGGTTTGACACAACCTCGTGCCGGCCGCCCGATGTGGCACCGCCTGGCTGGCGGTTGCCGGCGGCCTGCGGCCTGGACAGCCCTTCACTCCGCAGCCGCAGGGCGTTGGGCCGTCGCTCAGGGCAAGCGGGGGTCGCCCGTCCCCCAGTGCGTGCGTAACCACCGCCGTGCCCACTCTGCTCCGGTCGTTCACTCACTGATTTCGCCTCGACCACACCTCAAGTCAACGCTCGACGCACAGCCTGTTCGGATCTCATCGGCAGCACGGCAGTCAAGGCCCACCGCTGGCAAGGCATACGTGCACGCTTGCGCGCACCTCTGGGTGTGCTGCGCTCTTGGGCAGGTGGTAGTGCACCTGGGTCGGGTCCGGCACCGTCTCGATGCGCCGCCCCACCGCCTCCAGCGCCTTGGTGATGAGGTTGGTCGTGCCCTGGTCGCCAAAGCCGAACATCATGCTGCTGCCGACGTCGAACGTGTAGCCCTCGCGCTTGAAGTGGGCGGCGCTGCCGCCGGGGACGAGGTACTTCTCCAAGACCAGCACCTTGGCGCCCTTCTCAACCAGCTTGGCCGCCGTCGTCAGGCCACCCATGCCGCCGCCGACCACCACCGCGTCGTAAAGCACGTCCTCCGGGGCCTCGGTGGGGATCTCGCGGTCCAGGGGAGGGTAGGGCGCCTTTGTTGCGCGCGCCGCCACACCGACGGGGCCGGTGCTTGGCCGCGAGCGCCGCCGCTGCAGCTGCAGCGATGCCGGACGGCCTCGGCCAAATGCGGCCATGGCTTGGCCGGAGCGAGCGTCTAGGGCGTACATCTGTGATGTCATAGTGCCACTAGCTCGTTGTAGAACGTCCATTGGGGCTGTCAAAGCCGTGGGCCCAGATTGATGGTGGTCGCAGCAGGAGCCCGCCGCAAGGAAGGCACGTCTCGTGGGGTAAAAGAAAAATTTTGACACGAATTAATTCAATATTCTATATACAGCAGTACCGTAAAGATAGAAGTCAAGCGCATTCGACAGTGGTAATGTACGTGCGCAGGCAGCCACGACGAAAACGCAGCTTACACTGCTTGTATTTCTAGTCATTACAACCTGTCATCGAGGTTGCTGCTCTATGAACCGATTTCCGTGATAGATCCATCCACCGCAGCTGACATGGATCTCCAAACACTGCTGAGAGTGGGAAGGGAGGCACTGAATGCGGGAAAGGCGAGCGTCAAAGAACATTTTCGATGCGTGTCGCTGCGCACGACCTGCAGGGCGATACTAGCACCCGGGCGCCGCCGCAACACACACGCCGGCAGCCGTGCCCGCCCCCGTTGGCCGCTTGACGCAGCTCGAGCAGCGCCGCCCGCCACCTGACTCGCTGACCCGTGACGCTGAGCTGGGTCGCCCTTGCTGCCACGCGCCGGAGTGCTTGTCGTTGCGAAGCAACCTGCCATGCCGCTGCCCCTCCCCCTGGAGCCCACCCATCAGCAAACCCCTGCCCCCCCTCACCCCACCCCACCCCACCCGTGCCGCTGCCGCGCGCAGGCCTCGCAGGCCGTGACGATCCTCAGCGCCGCGACGGCCGCCGACCCGCGGTGCCCCCAGGCCTTCTTCCTGCTGGGCCTCGCCCTGGGCCGCCAGGTGCGGCGGCTGCCGCGGCCGCAGAGCAGCCCGGCGCGCTGCGTGGGCGCCTTGCATGCCGGGCCAGCAGGCTGGCTGGGCCAAGCGGCGCCCACGCTTCCAGCAATCCTGCCGGCTGCTCGCCCGTTCGCCCCGCCCCCGCAGGGCGTCCATGATGCGGCGGCTCTGTGCTTCCTGCGCGCCCAGCAGCTGGTGCCGGATGACACACCAGACCCCGGGGTGAGTCACTGGGCAACCAAGGGTGGTTGCGCGCGGCCACGGTGTCGGTAGCTGCACCTTGCAAGCTTGGATGCATGCCTCACCCAAGCATCCCCATGCATCACCCTGTTTTGCGGGATGCCGCGCATGTTGTATGTCGCACGCGCTACGGGTGGAAGCCACGTGCGACCCGCGGGCGGGGTGACTCAGGGCCCTCCTGTGTGCCTCGGCGCCGCGCAGACGCGGCAGCTGCGCTGGGTGGCGGCAGACAACATGCACCTGGAGGTAGACAGGGTGCTGCCACCAGGATGGCTGGCCGCGGCCAACGACGGCGACCGCCAGGCCGCCTTTGCGGCCGCGGCGCGCCACCTCGCAGGCAACGCAGCGGCGGCAGGCGCGGCGGGCGGCGACGGGGAGGGCGCGGGGACTCTGTGGTGTGTGGGTGGGCTGGGGGTCGAGGCGCTCCACCTGGCAGCAGCAGCGGCGGCAGCAGCAGCGGCAGCACGCGAGGCAGCGACAGCAGCAGACGGGGAGGCAGCCGCGGCAGGTGGAGGCACAGAAGCGGACAGCAGCGAGGGGCAGGAAGGCGGGGCGCACGGCGGGGGCGGCGGCGGCGGCGGCCCGGGGATGCGCGTGGTGCTGCAGGCAGCGAACCAGCTGGCGCTGAACCTCGGACGCCAGATTGCGGCTGCAAACGATCTGGACGACGAGGTCGAGGTTGTGCAGGGGCCCCCGCCCGCGCCGCAGCAGCGGCGGCAGCAGAGTCTCACGACAATAGCAGAGGGCGAGGAGGGGGAGGAGGGGAATGAGCAAGAGGATGGGGCGGAGGGTGAGGGCGAGGGAGGGGGGGACGAGGTTGAAGAGGCGGGGCCGCGGCTGGCCGGCGTGCTGCTGGCGGGCGCCGTGGGGCCGGGCTGGCCGCAGGTGGCGGCGGCGCGGCGGCAGCTGGCGGCGTTGGCGCACGCGCTCGCGCCGGGCTGCAGCGTGTCCCCGATCAGGGTGGGTGCGCTGGGGCGCGGGCCGCTTACCAGCGCTGCGCAGCCGGCAGCATGCAACGGGCAAGGTCACGGATGCGGGGGTGTTGTGCCATGGGCATGCCGCTGTGCCCAGGAGTACCGTATGTGCGTGGCCAGCGACGCCCGTACGCACGTCCTGACGATGGCTGCAGGCGCCGCCGGCTGCGCCGCTGCACCCCTGAGACCCGCCGCGCGCACCAACGCCGCTGCACTCATGTCGCTTGGCCCCCTGCTCAGGTCAGGCTGCGTGCGGTGCCGGCGTCCTGCCCGTCCCTGCTGGCCCTCAACGAAGTCCGCCTGGACGACATATCGGAAGACACCGCCGGCCTCGACTACGCCGCCGCCAACGCCGCCCTCCGCCGCGCGTCGCGGCCGGTCCAGGCTTCCCGCTTCGCGCCCCGCGCGCTGGCAGCGCCCGCGACGGCGCTGGAGGTGCAGCTGGCGGACTGGGCCGTTCTGGGGGCGGATGGCGGTAGCGGCGTTGTCGGCGGCGGAGGGGCGGAGGGGTGGCGGGAGAGCATTAACGGCGACGCAGAGTTTGAGGTTTCCGAGGCGGGGAGCTGCGATCTGGTGCTCTGGTGGCTCGATTTTGAGGTGGCCCCGGGCATGTGGCTGTCTCACGCGCCGTCCATCGACCTCGGGCTGGGCAGCAGCGTCGACGGCGATGGCGCAACCATGGCTGGCGACGAGGGGGCGGCCGCAGCGGCGCAGGCTGCGGCGGCGGCCACGGACGCGGTGCGGCCGCACGTCTGGCAGCACGCGGGCTACCTGCCTGCCGGGCCCGGCGACGACAGCAGCTGCGGCGCCGACGGTCACGGCCGCGGTGTCCCCGTGGCCCAGGGGCAACGGGTGGCGCCCGGCGACCGCCTGCGGCTGCTCTCGGCAGCCGACGAGTCGTTTGTCAGCCTGCGGCTCTTCTGGGCGTCGGGGGCCAGCGAGGGCGGGGCCTGTGGCAGCTGTGCGGGGGCTCTTGTGTGCACGCCTGTGGCGCACGGCGGAGCGGGGACTGGTGGTGCGGCGCGGGAGATTCTGCCGTACCACATGTCAATGCTGAATGACAGGGCGCGCACTGCGGCTTACGCGGCCGGCATAGCGGGCGAGGTGCGGCGGCTGGTAGCCAGGGGCCAGCAGGCGGCGCCGCACGGGCAACAGCAGCAGGAGGGGCAGCAGGAGCAGGAGCAGGAACAGAAGCACGAGCAGCACGCGCAGCAGCAGGACAGGCAGCAACAGCAGGAAGCAGTGGAGCAGCAGCAGCAGCAGCAGCAGCAGCAGCAGCAGCAGCAGCAGCAGCAGCAGCGTGAGCCTGTGGTCCTGGATGTTGGCGCAGGCACAGGCCTGCTCTCCATGTTGGCCGCACAAGCCGGGGCGCGCTGTGTCATAGGTGAGCGGCACCGCGGCAGGCAGATGACCTGGGGGCGCGGTAACACATGAGCGCTCGTGGCTGACAGCTCGGCCCGTGATAATACTATGACTGCGCTTCTCTGATGGCTGGCGGAACCGAACAAACCCGCGCACGCATTTTTCATCACGCGCGCAGCGGAAGCCCATGTGTGCCGCGACCCGCGACTCCCACCATTAACCCCCTTATTCCCCAACCCCTAGGCTGTGAGCGGGAGCCGGTGCTGGCGGCAGTGGCTGAGCGGCTGGTGGCGATCAACCAGTTGCAGCAGTCGGTGCGCATCGTGCGCAAGCTCAGCGGCCAGCTGACGGTGGATGACGTCAGCGGGGGCGACGGTGACGCCACGGCCGGCGGAGTGGGGACTCGGCAGGGGCAGCAGCAGCAGGGGCAGCAGCAGCAGGGGCACCAGCAGCAGGGGCACCAGCAGCAGGGGCAGCAGCAGCAGGGGCACCAGCGGCCAAAGCGCGACCTTCCTGCCAGGGCGTCCCTCGTGGTGCACGAGATCTTTGGCACAGACCCCCTCTCGGAACACGTGCTGCCGGCGCTGCGCGGCGTCCAGGTGGGGGAGGCTCACGGATGATGTCAAGCCGACAGAGCTGCTGGTCCGGGAGGCAGCACGCTGGGCATGGGGGCGTTAGATAGGGATGCAGGCCACCACGCCGGCATGGGGCCGACCAGCTGCACTGGCGCTCCTCAGTTGGACGTCGACAAATCCAAGCGACCAAACGGTTTAACGTGCCATTGCACCGCCAAACCCAACTGCGCGCCAGGAGCGCCTGGCGGCGCCCGGCTGCCGCTTCCTGCCGAGTGGCGTGCGCGTGATGGGCGCCCTCGCCACCTGCCCCGGCCTCGCGCGCATGCGCCGCGTCACCGCCTACACCGCCTCCCTCCGCAGCGCCGCTGATGCGACGAAGGAGCTCTCTGGATCCGAGCTAAGCGCTGGCGCAGAGGGCTGGGACCTGTCACCCCTGTCACCCCTGGCCCCTCGGAAGGTGGAACTGCAGGCGGCCGACCTGGCAGCTTCCATGCAGCTGCTCACCGAACCGCAGGAGCTGCTCGCGTTCGACTTTGAGCGCCAGTGGCCGCTGCCTATGCAGGGCCAGCAGGAGGTGCGCCTGGGGCTGCTGCAGGAGCCCATCTTGCTTGGCGCATGGATTGCCAACCGGCAGCGTCCGCAGCAAGTCGGCAGCAGCCGTGGCGGCGGCGGCGGTGGCGGCGGCGGCGGGGCCAGCGGCACCGGTCAGGGCCGCGGGGCAGACGAAGTCGTGCAGCATCCCGGCGCGGTCGAGGAGGAGGGGGTCGACGGCGCCGGCTGCGGGGTGCTGTATTGGTTTGAGGCCGACTGCGGCGAGGGCAGCGTTGTCTCAACCGAGCCTGGCACGACCCACTACGGCCACTGGCAGCAGAGCTTCGAGTTCCTGGGGCCGCGCACGGCTGAGGGCCTGCTAGCCGCCGGGAGTGGAGCGGGCGGTGGCCGCGGGGGCTTTGATGCAGTGCTTGCTGCGCGCTGGGGGCCCGACCGCGTGATGTTTGAGGTGACACAGGTTGCCGCCCTCCCCTGACGCAATGGCGTCGTTCCCTCACTCCTGGTGGGTCCCTGGGGTCCCTGGGGCCGGGACCCAACGCGACGCCACACCGACCCTGGGTAATCAAAGACTTGGGCTTCGATCGGTATTAGACAGCGGTTCGTGCAGTATCCTGTGCGCGGCCCCATCAGTGTGTGCTTGCAACGTGCCGGTACCCACACTCTGCCGCTGCGATCGTGAGGCTTACTAACCAAGGTGGTACGACCGGCATGGACCATTGCCCTGACATGGTGGGCCAGGGCGTGGCGCCCTCGTCCTACGCGTGTGCCGTGGGCAGCGCCGTTGGCAGTGTTTGTGATATAACGAATGCGGGACAAACGAGTGACGGGACTATGCGACGCAAAAACGTGTCCCAAGTGTGTCATGCGCAGTTGCAGTACTAGGTGGGCAGTGGCACTCCACTGGAGACAGCAAGGCGGCTCCAACGGCGACTGTGTGTTCAGAGAGAGTTTGGCGACAGCTGCTTGCTGTGAGTGTGCGAATATGTTGGTGCATGCAAGGAGATGTGAAGTTGAAGCGTTGAAAGCATGGCAGGAGAAGGTACTCGGTGGAAGCCCGGACAAAGACATGCGGTAGGGACAGCGTGCAGGTGGGTGTGTACCGCCCACAACCCAACGCCTGGCGACGTGGGCCACGCGGCACGCGCACCACAGCGCACGCGGGATGCAGTGATCCAGAATCACAGCGCTCCTGATAAGCTCCAGGCAAAGCGGGAGCGGTGAGCCTTGGCAGGGTTTTGCGCAGGCGCCGCCAGCGGGGAAACATCCATGTGTTGCCGGCGCCACAGCGCCCCAAGCCCCGTGTATAATTGTCGACGGATCAGTGCCCTGGAATTCTTGGTTTTGTTGACGACGAGCGCGCCGCCTTGAGCACAACAAACGCGCGGCGCCCGTTGAGAGCCGAGGGCCGTACGGGCGGGGCCGCTTAACAATAGGAGGCTTGCGCGTGCTGCTTTGCGCATCAGGCCGTTGCCCCCGCCCGCCACCAAAAGCACCCTCGATGTGCCTGCATACGCGGCAAACTGCCCCGTTCTACCGCCCCCCGAGCCACACCCTCATCCCTTCCAGCACGCCCGGCTCCAGCTCCCCCCGCTCGACCGCGGCCCGCACCACGCGCGCAGTGCCGTCCGCGTGGTCGGCGTCGCACGCGCCGTCGCGGGGCACGTCTCCGGCCACCCTGGCCGCCAGCGCTGGCGCCACCCCCAGTGCCTCCAGCACCGCGGCCGCTACTGCCACGGGGTCGGAGCTGACCTTTGTGATAGCTATCCAGTCTGGCAGGTAGGGGTAGCAGCAGACGTGGCCCTGCGCGTGAAGGGGGGGTTGGGTAGTGGAGTAGGGGGCGCCATGAGGGGGCAACGCTAGGGTGATGGGGTTGGCGTGCTGCAGTGCCCGGGGATGGGGTTTGGAGGGCGCCACGGTGCGGTGGGGAGGCATGGGTGACTGCGTCATGCGGGGGGGGGGGGTATCAGGAACCGGCAAATCAGGTGGGCTGAGTGTGCAGAGGAGGAATAGGCAAGACGACAAACCCTGTGTGGGAGCGCACAGCGGCAGGCCAGGTGACAGGGGTGGCACTCAAGTCGCACGCAATCCCTCTGGACTCCTCCTGGACACCCAAACCCCAGAAAATCTGAAAAACGCGGAGGAGATGTGGCACGTCTCGGCAGCCACCTGTCCTCCCATCACCCCAATGGTCCCAAACCCCACCCGAGTCCACCCCAGTCCACCCCAGTCCACCCCAGTCCACCCCAGCCCAGCCCACCCAACTTCAAGCCCACAGCCTCCAGCCGCACCAGCACTAGGACGTGGAGGGGGACGGCCTTCTCCGAACCCCAATAGAACAGGGTCTCCTGCAGTGGGTGATGGCAGGGTGGTACACGTCCAAGGCAGCCAGGGCAACCACATGGCACGTGCCTCCACACATGCGGTACATGGTAGGGTTGGGTTTAGGTAAAACCTAAACCCTAAGAATGCCATGACAAGCACAGGTGCCAGGAGGCAGAAAGGCGTCTCGACCTCTCGTGCAGCGTGCGGCGCCGCCGGAGCCCCTCCGCATGCGGCGCGCAGGCTGGGGCACCCCCAGGCCCTGCCGGCGCCGCGCACGCGCACGCGCGCTCGAGTGCCTCACCAGCGTGTGCTGTCTTTTGAGTGCGGCCTCCAGGCGCTCTAGCAGATCACCGTAGCGGGCCAGGGTGTCCTCAGAGGGCGGCCCTGCATGAGATGATGGAGGGCGGGGGGG